AATCTTTTAATTAATTAGTTTAATAAAAATACTAAATTTAGTAAATATCATTACATTTATTAATATGCCTTAATTAACAATTGGACTGCTAGTTGTTGAATAATCCTTAAGAGTATACATTTCGAGCTGTAATCATAGCACTATCCCATAGAATAGCATTGTTTACAGTACTGTACATGTTGTTTACTCTTAAGGCTTATTCTGCATGGTGTGGTCCAATTGTATTATAATTATAGATCTAATTAATAAATGTAATTATTAAGTTTTTTTTATTGGTAAAAATTAATATTATATATTACTCTGGGTAAAAATATCTAATGAAGGCAAAACTTAAATAGAATTTTAATGGATAATCCAATTTTTAATCTGTCTTCACCAAAATGTAACTGGATAATTACGTAATCAAATGGTATAGTATTTGCCATATGAATTCATCAAGATAAATTAGCATTTTTCATAATCCTCATATACCTGTATCTTGGCCTTTTTTATTGAGATTTTTGAAATTCCATCATCATTCTGTTTGGCATTAAAGTTCACGTTTACTCATGTTATGAATTTTTAAAATTTACCAAAAATGTATTTCTAACATTTTAACCATGAAACCTAGAACAAATCTGAATACCTCATTGGAAAGGGTACAAACACTAGTCCTGATCAGTTTTTAAATACATATTGGTAATGTTTTAATAAAATTATACTACTAATCATAACGATAATATGTTTATAGTTAAATAAACTAATTTTCTTATTGTCTATTGTCTAAGTCTATTTAAAATAAATGTTAAATGCTCTGGACTAGTTTTTTGTGCTCTCTCCAATAATTAAATAAATGCATTCTACCTATAATTTAATATACAGAATGTATTATAACAAAATAATTGTTATACAACTTACTATTTAAACATATTTTATATTGAATTAACTGAACACTTTACAAAATTAAATTTTAAAATATCATTGCTATCACAAATATAATCTACTGTATACAAAAATTATTTAAATAAATAATTGTAATTATGAGTTTAAAATATTTAATAACACATATAAGTACATAAAAATGAGTAATTTGTTTAGCAATTTTAATTTTATAATACTAGTTATTGGAGTACATTAAGCATAATTACTAATATCATTTTTGTAAGCTATCATAATTCAAAATTAGAAAGAACCTTTAATTTTAAAAATTACTTATTATTTAAAAAACATTATAAATAAGATGGTGGTTTTAAGAAATATAGTAAAATTAATCAAGTTAATTTGATCTTCAATAGATATAAAACAATACGCCCATAATGGTCCTGGTCAAAATTAAAATCAAACATTACATATTAATTATAATAAATTAAATATTAATAACAATAATACTTATACAAAATGTATGAAATTGCGGAATAGGCTACCAGTCCCACACCGGATGTATGAATCACTAGCGGTGGTGTTGGAGCACCGGTAGATGTTGAGGGAACAGTAGATGTAAAATCACCTAACTCTCCCATTTCACTGGCCATACACGTAGACACCGTTAGCCATAATAATAGGACCAGTAGTATAGCCACAGACAACTGTCCACTCATTTTGAAGTCCATGTCCTATCAATATTTGGATATAAGTTAATAATTAATATTAATTTTTAAAACTTTACTAACTTTTACCCTGTTTATTAACACTTTTATATTGAATCCAATTTGTGTTAATAGGTATTAACCGTTAGTTTAGTCGACATAATACTGATTGACTACAAACTGATAGTCACTATAAGACTAATTAAAACTGCATTCAAATGTATGTGAATTTCCTATTGTATATGAATTTTGTTTGTCATATGTATTACATTTTGCGTTTTTAACTAAACAAGGTATTAAGTAACTGATGATTTTCAGTGCAAAATATTTTTCTCAGCGGATGTTTAATGAAATCATTTTATTTTATTAGCCAATCATTGATCAGGGTAGTAATTAATTGTTTGTAAAAATTTTAATATGAGTAACAATAATAATTTATTGCATAATATTTTTGTTTTTGTAATACATATTTTAGGTATTAAACTACAAACTATACTGGTATCAAATATTAAAATAGTTTTTGGTATTTTTATTTTATTATGTTAACTATACTAGGTATAAATAACATAATTAGAAAATTATGATAATAATGATTAAATGATAATCTTGTTAATTTTTAAATTTTTAAAATAAAATAATATAAAAGTTAGCCCTGTTAACTTAACAATGTTTAATCAATCTACAAATAAACAATTCATGTGAATTATTTTTGGTAAATATTTAGCCTGCTACTGATTAACATTTACCACATGATTTTAATTATAATTCATATGTACTGATAACTATTTTCATTACCAAATATTTATAAATAAACAAAATAACAATTCCTGCGATCAGTTAAATCAATTCAAACTAAATGTTTATTAATAGAGTAAAAGCTGTTAATAAATGATTTCAAAGAATTTATATAAAAATAATATATTTAAAGGTAGCATAAAATTACATTATGATAATGAATTATGATATACAATAAATCAAAAGTATTTATTATACATAATGTAAAACTAAATTAATTTTCAGAGAGAGAGAAAGAGAGAGAGAGAGAGAGAGAGAGAGAGAGATTACTCAACATTAAAACTATTTAATGAAAAATAAAAATTCAATTATTAATAAATGATAATTACTTTATTGTGATACGAAAACAAAAAACACGCAAACATTTTGTGACATACAAAGTGATAAACAATAAAAATAATTAAAAACTGAAAATTCATGCTTATAATACTGTAATTGATAATATATAATAAATTAATGACTAAAATAATCTCTTAAAACACAATGAGATACACAATTAAAATGGCATTATATTTGGCATTATTTTAAAATAAAACTTTACTTTGAGGGGCAGTTCACAAAAGTAAATACACATTTCTTCAGTCAGTTCATATCTGTAATACTTATTCATATATAAATTAATAATATTTAATTAAATGCTTAAACCCTAGTCATGGATAGAGTATCAATGCGTATAAATCCATAATAATGGGTCATTCATAAAGTACATTAATTTTAAAAATGTGAGTTGGATGGACCCTAATAAGGGATTTAAAATTTTTAAAAATCATTTTTAAAAACTGTTATAATTAAAAATAACAAATAAATTAAATACTGATTCATTCATTTGCGAGAGGATCTGGCACGTACTTATTGGACGACCCAATTTGAAAAATTATTAAAATCTAAATAATTTTAAAAATACAGCCCATAAGTCACGAGCGCCGGTAACCACAATAATCCATAGTTAACGTAATGATGACTACAGGGGGCGCCGTTAGGTTCACCCGTACGGCGACCCTGTCGTGGGGGTACGGGTTTAGGCTTAACATCTGGGAAGTCCCCGTACTCTCCAATATCGCTACCGGTGCCCATACGGGCGCACATAATCAGCATCAGCACCGATACTAAGGCCAAGTACTTTATCCGTAGCGTTATATCCATGTGTACTATGTGGAGGTCAGAGGTCACGTGTATCCGAGAAAATAATACTAGAGTGGAACGGTATGTATGCACCAAGGGGAACGGTAGTATCCTTTTAAAAATAAATTACCACTTAATTGATAATCACTTTAAAAATATTTTTATGAAGTTTTTTGCGTTAACTTTATATAAGTTTTGAAAAAGTTTTTGTGTTTATTAAATACGGGGTATCGTATGGCACCTGGAGATAGGGTCGGGTATCACACATACACACACATTAGGGTTGATATTAAGCAGTTTCGGGTTTTATTACACTTTTTGGCGGCACAGGGATGTCAGATGAGCACCAGGAGCATACAGACAGCGTATATATAACACGTGGCGCACACTGTATACGCGAATATCATGTGTCCCAACGGGTATTAAATTGGTATTGAATTACACGTAAACTTATTATGCGTTTTGAAAATATACTTTTGAAACTTATTTACAATAATAAAACTTTTCGACACAAACACATGAATACTATTATAATCATACAAAACATCTAATGATGGCATTCATAGCAACAGTGAATTCGCATTGAAAATGAATATAAATGTCAAAAACAATTGAATAAAATCCGTTTTATAGCTATATATTCACAAACGCTTTTGAAGTTTTATTTTTTAACTACAATTTTTATGCATAACTATAATACTATAAATAGTTAATTGCGTTTATAAAAGGAAATACTTTTAATTCAATTTAATGAAACACTATTTGAACAAAAAAAAGTTTTCATTATATTCACTGCCAGTATAGGGATTTTATGCATAACTATAATACTATAAATAGTTAATTGCGTTTATAAAAGGAAATACTTTTAATTCAATTTAATGAAACACTATTTGAACAAAAAAAAGTTTTCATTATATTCACTGCCAGTATAGGGAAAAGCTATTCAGAAACGAGTCGTGAATTCAAATCATAACTGCATTTGTGTTGAGTATTGCAGTGATCGCCGGGAATCGGATATACAGTGAACTACTCGTACAGTGAACAGTAAAATCCGGTTTTATATGCGGTTTCTCATAGCTCTCTCTCTCTCTCTCTCTCTCTCTCTCGCATGACTCTTATCAGGCGTTTTCATACGAATTAAGACATTATTCTCATTGTTTGCTTTGGTTTCTCAAGAGGACAGGCATGTGTTGAGTAGGGGGTGAGCGTAGGTGTCTATCCCTGGGTTTAAGACTTAAGCAAATATAATTGAACTTGTTAATACCTAATCTAAATACTTTAAATTGTTTTCAAATGTTACGAAATTAATTTGTTAGATAATAATTATTATGTTGTAGCTAGCGTATTTTTATATTTAAAATGATTATTTATATAAATTATTTCTACATTATGACCCCGGTAGTAAAATTTTAAGTAGCAACACACTGTCAAAATAATTATTTATATGCAAATAGTAATATTAATGTGTGTAAACTTACACTTGAGGACCTTGAGCATCATTTTATCACTGGTATACACACCACACATACATACGAACTGTAAACTGTATATGAAATACTGAAAATGTTTTATATATTTACAGTTTAGTAATGAATAAATAAAAAACTGTACAGTTTTTCAATGTTAACAACAAAATTTTTTTCATTTTATAAATCGCTTTAAACACACGTAAAGCTGTATTTAAATTGAAAATCTGTATTCAAATGCAACTATTAATGCGTTTTTGTGATGCAATGAATGCTTAACATTACGTTTACATGACATACAGTGTGTGTGTAATAAATATATAATTAATTTTCTATATGCGGGTAATTTTGTATTGTTAATGAACTGTACTTTATGTTAGGGCTCATTTAATATAATAGCAAGGTAATTTCATGCATCATTAACAGGTTAATTCACGTATGTAATAAGGCTATTAAAATGCGATATGATACAGCGCAATCAACCCTGTTTATTTAAACATCACTATGATACAGTATGTTGCTACCCTATTAACTTAATAGTATTAAGCAAAGTGATATGTCAAAATTAATTTAAATTTATAGAAACAAATTAATCATACAGGGCAGCCTTGATAATAAACTTTGTAAATCAAAATTGATTATTTTATTGATTAGTCGGCGGATATTTTCATTACCATGCTAACATGTAAACTTTACTGATTCTTAGGTAACATACAATTAAGTTAAATATTTTTAAAAAATATATGAAAATTTAGTTTATAAAGTGCATAGTATACACGGTGTACACTGTATTTGTGAACATAATGAGTGTATAGATCTTAATATATACTACAAAATTGAAGTTCACGTAACAAACTAGCGATTAATGTACTGAATATAATATACAGTAATTTGGCATTTATTTGACGCTCTCGTGATATTTCCTGTTGTTTTTCACATGAAAATGACGGGACGTTTTTAGTTAGCAATTAATCGCAAGTAATAACTCATTTATAGCTTTTTATTTTTGCTGCAATTTTTGCCATTCATAACAATGCATTATAAGCGCTTATTATGCGGCTATAAAATAAACTGTATGCAAAAATTCAATATTAAATAAAGTGTTATTGTAGCATAATTTTGATAAATTATAATTTTCAGGATTAATGATAAATTACTACAAAATATTCAGATTTTTATTTTGAAATTTTTTTTACATAATTGATACATAAAATGATTAAAATATTAATAGCAATTTTTAATAGATAATATTAACATACACAAATAATTAGTAATACTACATGTTACAAATATTTGTTATAAAATTGAATATGACAGTAATTAGTAGTGCATTGTTAAGATTGCAAGTTTATTATGTAATGAGTTAGGAATTTTAATTTAAATAAACATTAAAAAAAATAATTATTTTTGCATTTTGTTTGTTAATATAACTATTTTTTAAAATCTTAATTATGTTATGCAAATATAACTGAAAGATCATGGTTATAAAGTAATTTACTACAATGCCTTGTTGCAAAAACAAGAGATTTACTATAAATTTATTATTTTTTTATATTTTTGTCATTCAAATTAACTTGTAGGATATACTGTAAAATATCATATTATTTAAAATAAATAACAAATATGATTAGTAAGTTATTTACAACAAATGTATTTATAGCCAACTGATCATATATTTTATAATCTACTGGACACAATAAGATTTAATACAATTATCTAATATGTTTTGTTAGGCCCTGTTTATTAGCATAACTACTGGATTATTCACGTGAATGCTTGCGGTTATGATAAATAACTCCAGATTTTGTTTTGAATCTTTTGCCACAATTTTCTTCATTACATTTATATTTCTTTTCATTCAAATGAACAGCACTTTTGTGTCGATTTAAGTGGTGTTTTGTTGTAAAATGTTTGTGACATTCACTCCAATCGCATACATATCTCACTTTTAAATGAACTATATTTTTGTGTGCAATTAAATTTGACTTTTGGGCGAAATATTTTCGACAATTTTCTTCATTACATTTGAATCTTCTTTCACTCAAATGAACACTACTTTTATGACGATATAAATTATGTTTGAATGTAAATTGTTTGCGACATTCACTCCAATCGCATACATATCTCACGTTTAAATGAATGCTATTTTTATGGGCATTTAGATTTACTTTTAATGAGAACTTTTTATTACAATTCTTGAAATCACATTTATATTTCTTGGTATTTGAATGTATTAATTGATGTCTAGTTAAATCACTTTCATGTTTAGTCTTGATGTGACATTTCGGCCAAAAACAGTGGAAATAGTGATAAGTGTTGAGTGTATTAATGGTGTTGTGATTGGAAAGCATTTTATCACTTATTTTACATGAATTCAAATCAATTGAATTGCAATTCATTGACAAATTCACTGCATTTTCGCATTCAACCCCTTCACACAAAACACTTGAATTTTGTGACAAAAAACACTTCATTTTGTCTAAACTTTGACACAAACTCTTCAAATCATTTAATACATCTAATAATTCACTCATTTTATAGTATTAGCAAAAATATCATTTATTTAAATGCAAAACACCACAAATGACTGAAACAATGCTTTCTAAGAGACATTTATTTCCAAAAGTAAACCAACGGTTGAAATGATATTTCAAACAAAACTGGTTTTCATTATATTTATTGATACTTTTATAAACTATTGGGGCCCTAACCTACTATAACCTGATTTTAGACCAACTCTTTCTTAAATAATTTGTAGAGAGAGAGAGAGAGAGAGAGAGAGAGAGAGAG